GCGAGAGTGCCCAGAGGGATCGGAGCGCCGCGGGGTGGGTGGGCAACCATAAGTCTCGAGCCTCAGCGGCTGCAGAAACCAAAATGGGAAACCCCAAAGCCCCCACTCCCGCCGCGCAGAACCTGCAGTCTCAACAACCAGACCACACAAGTTACGCGCAGGCGCGCGCACTAGGCACGAGGGGAGGAGAAAGGGAAGGGGCGAGGGCGGGAAAAGGACAAAGATGATGGCTGTGGCAACGCGGCCACGAGCGCTCTCCTCGGCGCAAGGCCGCTAGGGCTCGCGCGGCACGGCGCGCAGCAGACAAGACCGCGCGCCTTTTCGGCGCGCTCGCCTGCCCATCGGCCACCATCAAAGCACAAAACCAAAGACAAAACAAAACCAAAACCAAAAACCAAATCAAAAACGCAGCGCACAAAATGGCCAACTGCCTGCAACCTCGAGGCCTCCCCGGGCGAATGCCGGGCCGCCACGGCGAAACTCGCCGACGCGCGACGGACAGCTCGAGGCTGCTGAGCGCGAAGGAGGCGCGGAGCACCAAGAGGAGCAGGAGGGAGAGAAGCATCGCAGAGACAAAGAAAAGTAAGCGGACGACGACGACGACGACGACGACGACGACGACGACGACGAGCGACGACGACGACAACGACGACGACCGAAGACGACGATCGACGACGACGATGACGACGACGAGGACGGTCGACGACGACGAGCGACGACGACGACAACGACAACGACCGACGACGACGACCGACGACGACGATGACGACGACGACGACGACCGACGACGACGACGACGACGACCACCACGACGACGACAACGACCGACGACGAGAACGACGACGACGACGACGGCAACGACGACGACGACGACGACGACGACGACGACGACGACGACGACGACGACGACGGACGTCGACGACGACGACGACGGCGACGGCGACGACCAACGGCGACGGCGACGGCGACGGCGACGGCGACGGCGACGACGACGGACGACCACGACTACGACGACGACGACGACGACGACGACGACGACGACGACGACGACGGACGACGACGACGACGACGACGACGAGGACGGCAAGCACCACGCCGACGACGACAGAGGCAGCGGCGACGACGGCGGCGGCAGCGGCGACGACGGCGGCGGCAACGGAGACGACGGCGTAGGCGTTGGCGTAGGCGTAGGCGTAGGCGTAGGCGTAGGCGTCGGCGTCGGCGTGAACGTCGGCGCGAACGTCGGCGTACGCGGCGGGGGCGGCGACGGCGACGACGACGACCACGACGACGACGACGACGACGACCGACGGCGACAACGACGGCGACGACGACGACGACGACGACGGTCGACGACGACGACGACGACGACGACGACCGACGACGAAGGCCGACGACGACGACGATGACGACAACGACCGACGACGACCGACGACGACAACGGCGACGACGACGACGACGACCGACGACGACGACCGACGGACGACGACGACCGACGGACGACGACGACGAACGACGACGACGACGACAACGACGAACGACGACAACGACGACGACGACGACGACGACCGACGACGACGACGACGATGACGACGACGACGACGACGACGACGACCGACGACGACGACGAACGACGACCGACGACGACGACGACGAGGACCACGACGACGACGACGACGACGACAACGACCGACGTCGAAGACGACGACGACGACGACGATGACGATGACGACGACGACGACGACGACGACGACGACAACGAGGACGGCAAGCACCACGCCGACGACGACAGAGGCAGCGGCGACGACGGCGGCGGCAGCGGCGACGACGGCGGCGGCAACGGATACGACGGCGTAGGCGTTGGCGTAGGCGTAGGCGTAGGCGTCGGCGTCGGCGTCGGCGCGAACGTCGGCGTAGGCGTACGCGTACGCGGCGGGGGCGGCGACGGCGACGACGAGGACCACGACGACGACGACGACGACGACGACCGACAGCGACAACACGACGACGACGACGACGACGACGACGACGACGACGACGACGGACGACGACGACGACGACGACCGACGACGACGGCCGACGACGACGACGACAACGACCGACGATGACCGACGACGACGACGGCGACGACGACGACGACGACCGACAACGACGACGACCGACGGACGACGACGACCGACGGACGACGACGACGACGACGACCACGAACGACGACGACGAACGACGACGACGACGACGACGACGACCGACGACGACGACAACGACGACAACGACGACGACGACCGACGACGACGACGATGAGGCCCGGGGCCTCGGCGAGCGGCGCGGCGGCCCCCTGCAGGGGCCACTGCATGCTGGCGGGCATGCCGATGCCGCCGCGGCCGCTCAGCCAGCCCGCGGGGCACATGAACGACCTCCTGCGCCTCATCCTGCATCGTCCCGCCCTCCTCCTCCCGTTTCCCGTCCTCTTCCCCACCCCCCTTTTTCCCCGAGCGCTATCCTCCTCCTCCTCCTCCTCCTCCTCCTCCCTCCTCCTCCTCCTCCTCCTCCTCCTCCTCCTCCTCCTCCTCCTCCTGCTCCCACTCCTCCCTCTCATCCTCCTCCTCCTCCGCCTCCTCCCCCTCCTCTTCCTCCCCCTCCTCCTCCTCCTCCTCGTCCTCGTCCTCACCGCCACCATCACCATCAGCATTATCATCACCATCATCATCATCATCAACAACAGCAGCATCATCACTATCACCATGACCACCGTCATCATCAGCACGATCATCGTCATCATCACCACCATCATCATAATCACCAGCGTCAGCATCACCATCATCAACACCAACTAATACCGTTGTCTCTTTTGAGCACGATCAACTACAGACGGAGCTCCGCGCTATCCGAAATCTTTCTCTCTTCCAAAACTCCATTCTAAATCAAATCCGAAACTCCCTCAGGTTTCAGTGATCTCCTGAACTACGCGCTGGCCCCTTGGAAAACCGAGCACCCCTCCTCAACCATCGGCGCCGCGAGCGGGCGGAGGCGGAGGGCGAAAGCCAACCCGGCCAGCTGCTTGATCTGTGCACGAGACATCGCCAGCAAACAGCTGGCGCCATCATGGTCCGCGGCGCCTCTCGCCACTGCCCGTTTTCATCGTGAAGCAGATCGGCTTCAGCAGCCGCTACATCGCCTCCTGGTCGAGGGCCCTGGTGAACAGGTCCGCGGGGTTCCAGTTCCCTTCGACCGTCTTCAGCGTCGGCCTCTTGCTCTGGATTCGGTCTTGCAGTTAAAAATCGAACGCCCAGGTGTCGCGCAGCTCCCAGTCCCTGTTGGCTTGCAAATCCTCCCGCGGCTGAGCTGCCACAGATAATGCACAGCTCCATCTCGCAGTCTACCTCGACTCCGAGGTCGGTCAGCGTAGCCTGTGCAAAACCGCGGCAGGATCTACGCTGTAGTGCATAATACTCGGCTTCGCCGCTGCTCAAACCCACCGCGGATAGGACCGCGCTGCCATGTTTCAGTAGTCGCGATCCCCATAGCGTTGCCATTCCGCTTCGAGAACGTCTCGTAATCGGGTCGCCCGCGTAGTCGTTGTCGCAATAGACGCACGCCTTCGTCGGTAGCCTCTGCGCGGGGAACAGCGACCTTCCGGCGGCGTGCGTCTCCAAGTAGCGGCCGGTGCGCATCAGGCCTTCCAGACTGGTCTCCTTCGGCCCCCTAAAATGTCTGGCCTGCGCGCTCGCGCTGTAGCCGATGTCGGGTCTGTCCATGCTCCGGCAGGGCTGAACCTGATGTTTTTTGTTCTCGTTTTGTTATCGTTTTCCCTCGTTTTGTCTTCAATCAGCCTTTACCGCAAAACGAAGTCGAACCGAAAACGGCCCACGAAAACGCCAAAACACCGTTTATGTCCAGCCCTGTGCTCTGGTACATAATCCCCATGGTCACTCTGCGGGAGGCCTCGGTCTACTCCTCGTCCAGCTGCGGCGAGGTCTGGTCGTCATTCAGAACGACCGCCACCGAGCTCCTGACAGCCGGAGCGGCGACCCCCTCGCCGCACGCTCTCCGCCCAGTCGCCGTTGCGCGGCGGGCGGGAGATGGCCCCGCAGTTGATGCGGATGGAAGAGTCGAGGCCCGCAGGGGGGGAGGGGCGGAGGGGGGGGGAAGGGATCGCCTCTTCCAGCTAAAGGTTTTCATCCGACATAGAATCTAAGAGTTGCGCGAGATGGTTCTTGATCTGAAACAGAGTATATGCGTTGCGCGACATGCCTTTTTATCCAACATAGAATAGAAGCGTTGCGTTAGATGTACTTTTATCCGCTGGATATAGACTGAGCGTTGCGCAACATGGTCAATTATCCGACATGACGCAGCCTAAGGGCGTGTGGAGCACCTAGCTAGATCGCAGCAAACACCCGTCATACCAACGTACAGTATACACTACCAGAGTAGCATATCCACCGCCAGCCCATCGGTTCATCGATTCATCCCCTGAAGCAAGGCGCCGTTGCATCCTTCGGCATTGCTCGGCACCTTGCATCCTTCCCGTTAGTTTTGAGTGCGGTCGCCTTCAGCTCCCGAACCTCCGCCTCCTGCGTTCATAGCGACGTTTTGGCTCACGGTAGTCCGCAATGACACCGTAGGTCGGACACGGAGCATGCAATCGCGTTGCATATGACATCTAAGTACTTCCTTACGTCCAACGATACAAGTCATTTTGAGACAACGGATGACTTGTTGGCTTGCTTATTCAATGTGTTGCGCACTTTGGGTGATCAACGGTTCAGACACGCGCATCAACTCAGGAAACAGTGTCCTCTTCCGCGCACGTTGGATGCGGTTGCTCTGTGGAACGGAGTGAACAATTTTGGCAAGGATGGCAGCTTCCCGATGTCTAGATGCATGGACCTCATGGAAGTAGCTCGGCTGAAAATGGTGGCTTCTGCAAAATCAGCGATGCCATCCACGGCGCATGCCAAACCTTCCGCTCGCCGTAACACGAAGGCACAACGCAAAGAAGCACTGGCGGTGTCAAAGGCAAATGTCAGCAGGGCCCAACGGCAAAGTTTACAGTCTGTAGCTTTGCAACGGGAAGTGACGAAACTACAGACGAAGTTGGCCAGGGCGGAGCTAGTTGCCGAGTTAGCTCGGAGAACAACGGTTTGCATTCAGAAGAACATCCTCCTCCTCCTCCTCCTCCTCCTCCTCCTCCTCCTCCTCCTCCTCCTCCTCCTCCTCCTCCCCTCTCCTCGCTCCTCCCTCCTCCCTCCTCCCTCCTCTCTCCTCCCTCCTCCCTCCCCTCTCTCCTCCCTCCTCCCTCCTCCCTCCTTCCTCCTCCCTCCGCCCTCCTCCTGGCCCCACTTGGGCCGCCAGAACGGCCGCGGCAATGCCATCGAACATCGGCACTGGCGGGCACACCCCGCCGCCGTCGGCGCCGTCGGGCGCGCAGTAGAACTCCATTGCGCCTCGACGGCGACAGTGGCAGCGGCGGCGGCACCGGCGGAATCAAAGGGTGGGGGCGACGACGAGAGGGACAAGGAGGACGAGGGGAATGAATGGAAGAAAGAACGGATGGACGAGGACAAGAAGGACGAGGACAAGGAGGACGAGGGAAAGGAGGATAAGGAGGACGAGGGAAAGGAGGACGAGGGACAAGGAGGGCGAGGGGAAAGAATGGAGGAAAGGACGGATGGACGGAGGGAATGGGGGGGCAGGGCAGGCAGCCCGCCCGTGGGGGTGTGAGAGGATGATGGAGAAGGGAGGGAGGAGGGAGGAGAGGGGAGAAGGGGAGGAGGAGGAGGAGGAGGAGGAGGAGGAGGAGGAGGAGGAGGAGGAGGAGAGCAGCGACAAAGAGAGAGGAGGGTGGATGCACGGGGAGAAGGCAGAGAGATGGAGCCGGAGAGAAGGGGAGGGCGGGGCGAAAGAGGCAGGAGGAGGACGGCAAGAGGAGGAGAGCGGGAGGGGAGGCGGAGAGGGAGGACCGTGAGGGATGGAGCAGACGTGCGGAGCGGAGGATGGACGGATGTTGCGTTGTGCCTTGGAACCGCGTAGTCTACGCAAAGGGCTCGCGGCCGTCACCATGTGCCTGCAAGCACCACGATGCACCTGCCAGCGCCGCGCTGTGCCTACGAGCATCACTACGCACAGTCATGTGCCAGACACAAGCCTACACACACCTATATATACACACATATACATATATATGTATATACATGTAAATACATATACATATACATTAATGGCATCGAAGCGCGATGTGATTGACATCATACTGATAGCCCAGCCATACACACAACACGCTACTTACGAACGACACGATACGCGTGCGACAACCAGCAAAGTGCCCATGAACAGCACCTTGGCATGCGAGCACCGAGGTGCCCAAGAGCACCACGACGCACTTGCGACCACCAACGGGCGAACGAAGCTGGACCCAACGATATGCACAATATCCTGTATCATGTGGCGTGTGCAACGGAAGACACAGAACTGGCAGAATCACCAGCGCACCCCACCATTCACCAGCTATGTGCCTTTGAGCGCACCGCCACAGTCTGCCTGCCACGCGCACGCCACAATCTGCCTGAAAGAGAAGTACCTGCTGCTTACATGGCGAGAAAAGCTCGACCTTTTTAACCCCACACGAAACTATTAATACCACGCGTAGCTAGTATATGCTACTGACAAAACGATGCCGCCGTTCACGTCGCATCCGCAACGCGCCGCGGCCACACCCGTGTTGAGGGTGCACACATGATGTTCGCCAGATCCGCCAGCCCTCCTGTGGGGCCACCACGTTGTGAGGAAAAAACAATTCCCCTCTCGTGTCCTCGTCCTCACACACGTTCGTTTTCCTACTCTCCCCTGTTCCTCCCGATCCTCTTCCGTCCTCCCCCGACTGCACTACGTACTAAACGCCCAGATGCGTCTGCGAACCTCGCAATATATCAGCGGGCATCACGACGCTTCTGGGCACAACTACCTAAGTTACCATCTCTAGCACGCTTGCGAACACAAGCTGTTTGTGAGCACCACAGTGCCCTCCCACACCCACACAATGCCTGCAAACACCACAGCGCGCCTGCGGCCACCGCACAATGAGGGGCACCAGACCTTACCGATGCTCAAATGTCCGCGATCACTAGATAGATGCGGGTCCGTTACCGCGCCGCTGGGCACGGCGCGGGCGTGTCCTCAAGTCTTTCGCCCAATCCCTGGAACCTCAATCCTGAATCTTGGGGAGTTCAAGCGGCCCAGACCCAAAATTCCGAAATCTCTTAGGGTGTGTCGCGTGCCCATGGGTTTCGCCCCAATACGGGCCAAGAGGACCCCAAGAGGCCCCGAATACGGCCCAACAGCGCCCCGAGTCGCCGAAAGGTCGGCCCAAGATGCCAAGCCCGAAATCATGTCTCAAGTTTTTTCACTGCGTTCGGCCTAGCCGTTTTTTCTGCTTACCGACGCTCCGAAACGGCCCAGAAGCCTCCAATACCGCTCCACGACGGCCTGAAACGCCCACAAGACGGTCCCAAAGCAGCCCGAGAAGGCTCTCAAACTGCCCCCAAAGACGCCCAAGACGGCCCAAAAGAGGCCCAAGAGAGGGAACACGAACCGAAACCAACCCGAGCCTTCCGCCCCAAGAGGCCCCCAAGAAGCCCCAAGAGGCGCCGCGGAGGTCCCAAGAGGCCCACAAGAGGCCCCAAGAGGCCCCCAGGAGGCCCCAAGGAGGCCCAAAAGAGGCCCGACGGGGCCCCAACACGGCCCCCAAGAGGCGTCCCCAAGAGGCCCCAGAGAGGCCCCCCACGAGATCCCAACGAATATCCAGCATGTTTAATACCCACAACCCAATCACCGGTGCGGGATGGGCCGAAGGCCATTAGTCACCCGGAAAGGGGTTGGGAGACCCAGCCAACAGCTTCGCCTCAGGCGAAGCCCAGCCCCAGCTCTGTTGTACCGTTGTAGCGATAGTCCCAATGTTAAAAAGCGTACCATCTTAAGCAGTAAGAAGATCACTTTGGTCTCGATGGCGAACAGTACGCCTCGCAATGAGGCGCAATCATATTTGGGCGGCCGGCCGATTGAGCCGACGCGGCCGCGGGCACACGCTCGCTTCCGCCCCCTGTGTCCCCAGCTCGCTTTGGAGTCGGGGGGGGGCGGAGACGAAGCGTGAGTCCGCCGCCCCTTTTATAGCAGGCACAGCAGCTACTATCTACACAAAGACAGCAAAAGGGCGGGGCCGTAAGGAAGGTGGACCCGCACGCAAGTTGCCTTGCCTGTACCATACTGTACATAAAGATACTCCGCAGGCGGCTACAGAACAGGATGTCTGGCCAGCCCGATAGGGAGTATGAGTATGAAAGTCATGTTTAAAGGCTTGTATACCTCCCATGACCTGTAGGAGCATCTCTCTGTCGATGCTCCCCTTGGTGTGGCCGTCCACAGTCATATCGCGGGTGTCGCACCACTGAATACTGTGCACGATTCCGCGCCCCATCATCTGTCGGATCCATCTGGTGTGTCCTAAAAAGGGTACACTCAGTCGGGTTCTTCAAGTCTTCGCTTGACAAGAGGGGGGGGGGGGGGGGGAACACCAAAAACAAATGTATGGTCAAAGTGACCTTGAAGCTCAGGCCACCCAACTCAAGCATGACTTTCAACTGCGTGGGAGGGAGCGGCCCTGCGCGGCGCTCGTGCAGAGTCACGATCGTGGGATAACAGCCCCCCAAATTGCGGGCAGCTGCTAGTGTCTCTACTGAGTAACTCGGGCGGACCTGCAAGCGGTGAGACTTGCAGTACGTATCGATCAAGTGGACGACTGGCTTACCAGATGGCGTGTTTCCACGCCGTAGCAGGTTTGCCCCGCGAATATCATAGCCTTCGACGTCGTCATCAGCGTCTCCACTCAGGCGTCGGTAACCTGAGTCGCTGTGTAGGTCGACCTCGCCCGTAGGAGTCATCGCCTGATAGACGATCTGATTGGGGCAGGTCTGCAGCTTCCTGGCGATCGCGTTCAGTCGTCGCACTTGTATATTGGTCGGTTCTTGGACACGTTGTAGAGATACAACATCCACCATCAACCAAATCTGGGTGACTAATGCATACGCCAGCGCACCTCGAAGGCTGACGAACATGTCTGCAACCAGCTTGGATGCCTGAGCGCCAGCGTCGGCGCCAGTAAGTTCACGATGTTGTATAGGACGGAGCTGCTTGATGTACTCATCTTGAACTAAAGAAACATTGCCGTCCTCATCCTTGGTATATCTCACAGCAAATTTGGTGCATGTGCGCTTGTTGAGTATACATGTACCAGAGGTGTCTTCTACGCACTTGACACGCTTGTCAGTGGTGTCATCAGTACCGGCCATAGTGATAGCATCAACACGTTTGGCCGTAAGCAAGTTACTGCCCGCCCCGAACAACTCGTCGTATGATGCGGGTCGGAGACCAAAACCTTGCGTGGCACTTCGGAGCTTGAGTGTGAGAAAGTTCGGGGTGCGTCTTTGGTGCCAGTGCCTGGGTTAAGGCACTGCAAGCAATGCTTTGACTCATCGCAGTGTTCGAATCCTGGGAGTCCGAAGCACCGTGGCCGATCCAGGCGGTAAAGTGAAACACGCCACACGTTCTGTTTCACCAGTTGCCTCAGCAAGTTCCTGGTAGGTCAACCCTTCCAGGAAGGCTATGTTGATGTCGAGGGAAGCAGTAATCGATTGCGTATTGCGCGCTGCCGTGCTCGCGAGTAGTCTCTGGCTTGACCGCCGCGCTGTACCCGAAAAGGCTTCCACGTCGATGGCTTCAAGGTCTATGAAGCCTCGAAGCCCAAGGCGAAACCTGATGGCACGCTCCATATCGCCCTTCTCGTTCTTCACAAACTTCCATGCTTGCACATACGTCGAAGTCATGACGCGTGACGCTTTAGATATGTCTTGCATTTTGAAACACTTGCTGTCAAATCATGTCTGGAGTTCGGTGTAGACGCCCCTCGAAAAGTTCTCGGGGCCCGCCCGGGCACCAGCCTTCGCGAGGAGGTCGTCTTCCTTGACGCCCACAGCTCGTTTTGCAGCGGCGGCAACGTATACTCGCATAGTGGTCACACGGTCGGCATCCAATCTCATATGCTCTTGCTCGGACAGGACTACCCCTGACATTTCTGTCGTAAAGCAGAACTTTAGATACTGTCCGGTTTCATTCGGGTCCAGTCCGTAACTGTAGTCTTCGGCAATGGAGCACAATGGGACGTGATACGTCTCCTCGATGTCGGAGTCGCGTGGGTGTCCCCACTTAGGCAGGTGTTTCCGCTGTTCCTCAGCTACAGTGATCCGCGCACTATGGTCTGGAACCATCTGCGTGGGCATCGTGAAAAGGTATTCTAGTGAAGTTGCCTCCAGCAGTTCCCTTTCACATTGTTGTTCTGTGTAGCACACGTCCATGGCGTGTGACTCGAGATCAGCCTCCGATTTCTCATAAATCG